CTTAATCTTTTAGATTATGTGTCTGATTTCAAAAAAAACTTTACAATGCTTGTAAATTAGCACAAGAAAATTTGAAGAATTCTCAGATGAAAATGAAAATGTGGTATGACAAAGATGCCAGAAATAGGGTGTTTAAGCCAGGTGATAAGGTTCTTGTATTTTTACCTATTCCTGGTCATCCTTTACAGGCCAGATTTTATGGCCCTTATGAAATTGAAAGCAAGATCAGTGATGTAAACTATGTAGTTAAGACACCAGGTCGACGTAAAGAGAAACGGGTTTGTCACATTAACATGTTAAAAGAGTATTTTGAAAGGTGTGACCGAAATTCTGTAAAACCAGTTTCCACTTTAGCCAATGCTAAGACTGTTCAAAATTGTATTGAAAGTGATACGAGTGTAGGAATGAATGAGAAAGATTGTAATCAGAGTGTCCGCTTGAAAAACTCAGAAATTTTAGCTGATTTTGATGCCAAACTTGGACATTTGAACATTCACCAAAAAGAACAAGTTAAAAACTTGATGAATGAGTATCATCAAATCTTCTCGGATGTTCCAAAGAAAACTAATGCAGCTTGTCATGATGTTATAGTTGGCGACGCTCTGCCTATCAAACAACATCCGTACCGTCTCAATCCAATAAAATCGCAGTACCTAAGAAGGGAAGTGCAGTACATGTTGGACAATGACATTGTTGAACCTAGTAAAAGTGATTGGAGCTCACCGTGTATTCTTGTACCAAAACAGGACGGTTCGTACCGATTATGTACAGACTTTAGAAAGGTGAATTCTGTTACCAAAACTGATTCATATCCAATACCTAGAATCGATGACTGTATTGACAACATTGGAAATGCGAAATTTGTCAGTAAATTTGACCTGTTGAAAGGCTACTGGCAAGTACCGTTAACAGAAAGAGCAAAAGAAATATCTGCTTTTGCTACACCAGATGGACTTTACCTGTATAAAGTAATGCCTTTTGGCATGAAAAACGCACCAGCTACATTCCAAAGGATGATTCACTCCCTTCTTCAAGACCTTGAAGGATGCGAGGCCTACATTGATGATGTCATCATATACAGTGACACATGGGACGAACATCTTCGAATCATGCGTGCTTTATTTGACATTTTAGCTAAAACAAACTTAACTGTGAATCTTGAAAAGAGTGAATTTTGTCATGCTTATGTAGAGTATTTAGGTCATAAAGTAGGTCAAGGTTATGTTACACCCATAATGGCTAAAGTGGAAGCTATTGCAAAGTTCCCGATTCCTACAAACAAGAAAGAATTAATGAGGTTTTTGGGCATGGCTGGGTTTTACAGAAAATTTTGTCCAAATTTTTCCTCAGTTGTTAGTCCACTTACAAATCTTTTACAAAAGAGGGTTAAATTTGAATGGACAAAGGACTGTGAAAAATCCTTCCATAAAATCAAATCTGTCCTTATGAGTAATCCAGTTCTGTCAACTCCAGATTTTTCTAAGCAATTTAAGCTTACCGTTGACGCTAGTGATGTTGGAATCGGGGCAGCTTTGTTTCAAGAACATAGTGATAATGTAGATAGAGTTGTTTCTTATTTTTCAAAGAAACTTACAAAATGTCAACAAAAGTATTCCACCATTGAAAAGGAATGCCTTGCTTTGTTGTTAGCTTTACAGCATTTTGATGTTTATTTGAATGTTACTTTGCATCCAATTCTTGTATATACTGATCACAACCCCCTGACATTTTTGCATAAATTGTCAAACAAGAATCAAAGACTGACTAGATGGAGTTTGTTGTTACAAGAATACAACATAACAATTAAGCATATCAAAGGCAAAGACAATGTTATTGCAGACGCCTTGTCAAGAGTATCGTAAACATACTAGATTTTGTATTAATGTACATAACTTTTATTTTATTAATATAAGTTTGACATTCAAACCTTTTAAGGGGGGAGTTGTTGTGAGATGTGTATTGTTTCATTATGTATATAATTAGTAACATTAAGTTTCTTGAACATTCCAGAGTGGTCAACATGTTCGGTCATTTTATCTAGAACATTCTTAAATTTTGTGTATGTCCAGATTGTTCCAGTAATATCATGTTTTAACAATTTCTAGAATATTCTAGATTTATGATACTGTATAAATACCCTGTCAATTCGATGCATATACAATAATTGTGGATACTTTGTCGTATAAGCACTATTGAGATATAACTGGGATATATTTTCACTGGGACATTGTGTGCAGTAACGGACACTCTGATGTATGTATTTTTAGATTCTTGCTAAGTTTGTACTTTACGTTTCATACACTTATTATATATTACTGTAAATAAATTATTGTTAAGTTTAAATTGTGTTATTGATCTTTGCTGGCATTTCGGGTAATTCTGACCCATAACACATTACTGAAGCAAAAATGTTTATCTCAACAATCTACAACTGTATATTATGATTTTAATATCGTATGGTACATAATAAGGGACCACAAGGGGCCAGAAGGCTAAATCTTTGACGCTTTATATCTCGAAAGTGAGAAATATTTTGATAAGTAGTATTGAACAAAAGATGTTCAAAATAATGTTCTGAACAATATGCAACCTTTAGTTTTTCGCTAAACGTCCCCATTAGGGAGTTGAAGGGTTGGCCCCTAAATATTTCTTTTGCAAATAACTCGAAAACGAAAGAGAATCTCTGAATAGTTGTTGAACAAAAAGTGTTCAAAATCTTAAGAGCTTCAAGATAATATCCAGAAAAAGGGGCTGAGCACTCAAATTAGGGGCCAAAAGGGGCTACTCTTTATCAGTTAATATTTTGTAATACATTACTGAAGCAAAAATGTTTATTTCAACAATCTACAACTGTATATTATAATTTTAATGTCGTATATTACATAATTAGGGGCTATAAGGGGCCAGAATGCTAAATTTTTGATGCTTTATATCTCGAAAGGGAGAAATATTTTGATAAGTAATATTGAACAAAAGATGTTCAAAATCATGTTCTTAGCAATATGCAACCTTTCATTTTTTGCTAAACGTCCCCATTAAGGAGTTGAAGGGTTGGCCCCTAAATTTTTTTTTGCTAATAGCTGAAAAACGAAAAAGAATTTCTGAACAGTTAGTGAACAAAAATGTTCAAAATCTTAAGAGCTTTAAGATGATATGAATAAAAAGGGCCGATTCCTCTAATTAGGGGCCGTGAGGGTCCAAAAGCCGATTTTTTAAGTCTTAATGTTCAATGTCTTTTTACAGATTGTGGTAAATCATTATTTTAGAATGAAAATCGGGATCAAAATCTTATCTCATCTCATCAAGAATTGGACGGAAGACCCACTCGTTGCTCGCAACGAGATCGTATCTAGTTAAGGTCTTCCGTTTCCAACGGAAGACCTTATTGTTTTCGTTCGGTTTCTTTTTCCCTATTATTATTATTAAGGTCTTCCGTTTCCAACGGAAGACCTTCTACTGATTCGTTTGTTTCTTTTCCACTATTATTATTATTATTATTATTATTTTTCTTACCGATTTTGTGCAGGCGATTTCTCGAGAACGCCTCGACAGATCTTTATGAAACTTTCAGCAATGATGGCAAATCATATTATTATTATTATCATTCTACTTTTATATAGCGCCCTATATAATTATGGAATTACCCTAAAGCGCTTTACATGTAGAAAACAAGTACAATATAAAACAAAGGTACAATATAAAATAGCAAAAAGGTAAAATCATAGGGCTTTTTTTTTTTTTTAAATAAAATAAAACCAACTGGATGCTCCATTGTGACTAGAGCCTTATAAACTAAAGGCGAGTCTAAAAAGATGTGTTTTTAGATTTCTTTTAAAAACTTCAAGTGACTGTTCTTTCCTAAGATCCAGAGGAAGGCAGTTCCACAGAGTGGCTGAAGATACATCGAACCTTCTATCTCCATACATCTTACTTCGAGTGCGTGGTTTAACAAGGCTCAGTGAATCCCCAGACCGTAGTGAACGTTGTGAGCGATAGACCTGAACAAGTTCCTGGATGTATTTCGGGGCTAGCTTCTGTAAGGCCTTGAAAGTGTACAACAGAATTTTATATTGTGCACGGTATGCCACAGGTAGCCAGTGAAGAGTTATGAGAATTGGAGTTATATGTTCATGTTTTCTCAAACGTGTCACCAGTCTAGCTGCAGTGTTCTGAACTTTCTGAAACTTTTGCAAGGATGTTGCATTGAGGCCAAACAATAGTGCATTGCCATAATCAAGTCTAGATGTCACTAAAGATCTAACAAGTGTCCTGCAAGCATCCTCTGTTATGAGTGATCTTATTCTACCGATGTTACGAAGATGGAAAAAACAGGATCTTGTGACCGAATTGATTTGACAGTCCATGCTTAATTTGCTGTCGAAAAGTACCCCGAGATTTTTAACACAGGAAGCATTACTGATGACTGATCCACCAAAAGCGAGTTTACGTCCTGTAAATTCATTTGCCATACGTTTCGGTGTAAAGATGATGAGTTCAGTCTTATCCTGGTTTAACTTAAGGATGTTGGTTTGCATCCAGTCTTGTATATCAGACAGACACCATTCAAGTCTATTCGCAATGTCGTCCCAACCGTCCTTCGGGTTAATAATCAGGTAAACCTGTGTGTCATCAGCATAACAATGGTAATACATGTTATGTCTCCGGCAAATTTCTCCGATGGGTTTGGAGAACACACAATATAGACGAGGTCCTAAAACAGACCCTTGTGGTACACCAAACCGGAGTAAGAACTCTCTCGAGAATGTCGAACCTACGGCAATTTGTTGACTTCGACCTGATAAATAAGACGTTATCCATGATAGCGCCGATCCTGTGATACCAAACGCGTATTCGATGCGACTGATTAGTATATCATGATCAATCACATCGAATGCAGCCGAGAGATCTAGCATTACGAGAGCAACGCATGAATTCTTATCCAGTGCAGAGGTAATATCATGGTGCACCCGTAGCAGGGCAGTTTCTGTAGAGTGACTACTTCAGTAGGCCGACTGCACGTTATCATGAAGCTGGTAAGCATTTAGGTGTTTTTCGAGTCGAGATGCCACCGCTTTTTCTAATACTTTAGATAAAAAAGGCAAATTTGAAACAGGTCTGTAATTTTTGAATTCATCTTTGTCAAGTCCTTGGCCCTTAATCAAGGGACGTACTATGGCCTTTTTGAAATCCAATGGTACTGACGCTTCTGAGAAGGATTTGTTGATAATTTCAGTGACAATTGGCAAAGGACTCTCCAAACATTGTTTCAAAACATTTGTGGGTATTGGATCTAACTCGCAAGACTTCGTTGGTGCATCGCCGATAATGTCACATACCTCAGCAATCGACACTGGTTCAAACGCTTCCAGAGGAATGCCATCAAACTTGATGTCAGCTCGAAGGACAACTTCCATAGTAGGAGACTTGGTCAAGGAGCAAAGGTTTTCTCTGATTTTCTGAATTTTACCGATAAAAAATTCACCAAATTTGGATGCGAGATCGATTTCGCTGTCATGCTCTGGCAGGACTGATAAATTTGTGTTTCCCATGAGATTGTTGGTAAGTTTAAAAAGCTGTTTCGAGTCGCTGCCTATTTCCTGAATTTTGTTTATATAAAACTGACTTTTACAGTGTTGTATGAGTTTTGTAACCTGCATACATTTCTGATTGAAAATGTCGTTGTGGACTGCTAGGTTTGTTCGTCTCATAGTTCGTTCAGCCCTTCGGCGATCTCTCTTAGCAGAATAAAGATCATCCGTAAACCAAGGAGTATTCGGTCGTATAACAATCTCCTTTGATTTCTGAGGAGCATGAACATCAATGGTAGCAGTTAGAACTCTATTGTAGTGAATGATAAGCTTTTCAACAGATGCTTCCTTGTAAGTCACGTTTGAAAAATCAAGATCGTTTCTGAACTTGTCTATGTTGATGTCATGAATTTTCCGAAAGGTTACCGTTCTTCTCTCTCTCGGAGCTTTGGACAGACGCAATAAAGTGCGAATTGCGAGGTGGTCACCACTTCTGTTTCCATTGTTGTCACATATACCAGGATCTGCTACAAATGGCGTTCCCTGTAATATAGGACTATCTTCTCTGGTTATCAACACATCTAACGTATGACCAAGACGATGTGTTTCATCGGAAATATGCTGCTTTAATCCATGTTCTGTTAGCAACTCTGTAAATGTTCTAGCATCTTTGTCATTGGGATCATCAAGGTGGAAATTTAGAACACCTGTGATAAGTAACTCACCAGGGATTAACACGAGACTGTCCAGATAGTTGGTCCATTCTTCAAAGAAAACGGAATTCTTGAATTTATTTGATTTAGATGGTGGTGGGCGATATATAACAGCGATGCGAATAAACTTGTTTTTGACTCCAACAGAGCACTCTAGATGTTCAAAATTAGTGTATTTGGCATCTTTGTTCGCAGGTTTCACACTAACCTGTTTTTCGTGAATAATCGCCAGGCCCCCACCCCTTCGATCTACCCTTGGATTATTTGTGAAATTATATCCGTTTGGTGTTAGTTCAGACAAAATGGCGTTATCTGTGTTTGATCCTAGCCATGTTTCAGTCAGCACCATGAGATCGATGTTATTTGACTGAATGTAATCATTTATGGATACTGATTTATTTCTTGAAGATCTACAATTGAGAGTACATAGTGAAAGAGTTCCTGACGTGTTGGCTATTGGAACTCTACTTGTTTCAATTTTCAAAAGATTCGAACCATCTCGACAGCTTGTATTGTCAATTCTCTTTTTCCTGTGTTGAATCAATGTTGGAATAGGGAAGGTCTCACATGTTTCATTTGGAACTTTTGCGATAGGACAGGAGTTGTTGAGAGTATCATTGAAGATGTACACTAAATTATTTCTATTAGCCCCAAGTTGATGTTCTACGTAGCTCAGCCGCCCAACACAGACAGTGTGGATACGTCTTATGAACCTGCGTCCACCCTTCACGCCCCTTCTAACTCGAAAATGTTTAGCACGACCCGACACACCAACAGTGTTTGGCCTTACAAAACACATCGTGCAGAAACTATATTAATTGAGTACGAAAAAATGTGGAGTGACTTGTCAACAAAATCCAACCAAATAGAGAGACAGTTCGTACAGGGAATCGTACTGAAGTCAAAGTATATATAGCTCAGTAGGAACATGTGTGGAGCGACTTGACAACACAATCTGAGCAAAAAGAAAGATAGCTCGTACCGGTAAAATCCCAATAGAGTCAAAGTAGAGAAGTTGAGTAAAACAATTTGTGGGGCGACTTGGCCACACAATACAAACAACGAGAAAAATAGCTCTTACCTATAAAAAGCAATACAGTCACGGTTCAGTGAACATAAAATTAAAAAACTTTAAACTAAAATTTCACTTAAAAACGGAAATTTAGAAAACAAAGGATTCAACCTTTTGATTAAGCGACGTGTTATATAAAAGCTCAACAAATCTTAAAACTAGAACCTTAGTTACAAAAGAGCAATCAAGTTATATAGTCAGAGGTGGAGCTGCCATGTCATAGCGCTAACACACTCAGAGTGTGTCAAATCATATGAACTTAGGGCGTTTTTTTTATTTTGCCGTCGTCACTTCCGGTCGCGAGATACAGCCAATTTTCTTTTTTTAAAATGTCATTTTGTCCGGAAGTGTTCTCAAAAACGGTTTGAGATTGAGTCTTGAAACTTTCAGGGATGATAGACTGTGACAGGCTCTCTTGAATTTTGTATAAAGTTTTTGTTGCCGTCAAGTCCGTTGTCCACCGGAAGTAGTTTAAAAATATGCAAAATTTTATTTTTTTCTTTTTTAAATGTTTCTTATATAGGCAAATAGAGTGTCTCGAGTATTATTATGTCCATCGGAAGTTATTTTTTCAAAACCGGAAGTAGTCCAAAAAATGAGCATTTTTCATCGAAATTATCAGGGATGATTCCTTCACACTCAGAGAGGAGTTATAGGTCATTTTTTGTACTTCCGGTCACACCGGAAGTAAATTATAAAGACCGGAAGTTGTCTGAAATTTACAGATTTCACTCTTAAATGTGTTCTCACTTATTTAGAGGAATTGATATGAACTTTTTTTTCATTTAAGTTGTTTTATGATCGTATCAAAAATCGAACGGAAGACCTACTCGTTGCTTGCAACGAGATCTCCTCTAGTTAAGGTCTTCCGTTTCCAACGGAAGACCTTACTGTTATTCTTAGGTTTCTTTTCCACTATTTTTATTATTATTATTGTTTTTTTCTTACCAATTTTGTGCACGCGAGTTCTCGAAAACGGCTCGTACCAACACTACCCTTATACAGTCTTTCTCGATTTTCATGAAACTTTCAGGACTGATAGAGCATGAAAAAATCTAGATATATATTTTTTTGTTTTGATGACGTCACTTCCGGTTTTGAGATTTTCGCGTTTTAGTGATTTTCAGATGGTCACTTTGTCCGGCAGTTTTCCGAAAAACCACTGTATATCACAACCACCGGAAGTACGAAGTGCCGACGCTCGCTATGGCCCGAAAATAGTCCTATCAAGAATTTCAAATTGTTTAACACCTTTTCTACGATAACTGTTTACCTAGAAATATTTTGTTAAAACATGTAGAACAAAAAAGGTATAGAATTCCAAGATCTTTCGAATGAGACCTCGAAAAAAGGACTGGCCCTTTAAATTAGGGGCCGAGAGGGACCGAATGTTTTTCCTTTATATCTCAAAAAGTCTTTAGAATTTTTAATACGTCAAAGAAGCAAAGTTGTTCAAAATGTCAAGTTTAATCTTTTCGAGTCGTCAAAATACGTCCAGCATTGTCACTTCCGGCCAAACCGGAAGTGGTCGGAAAACGCGTTTTTTGCCGTTCTTAATAAGTTTGTGGGTGACATTGTCTCTGGGAGCATAAAAAGTGATTTTTACGTCCTTCGTCGTCACTTCCGGTCAAACCGGAAGTAGCATAAAATGGCTTATTTTTGAAGGTTTTGATGTAAAACTGAAATTATCAAGTCACTGGAGACTACTTAGCTCAATGCTTTTTTTTTGTTCCGGCACTTCCGGCACTTCCGGTCAAAACCGGACTGAAGATCTACTCGTTGCTTTGCAACGAGCTTTGCTCTAGTTATTATTATTATTATTATTTTTCTTCCAACCGATTTTGTGCAAGCGATTTCTCAGAGATGGCTTGTCCGATTTAAGCCAAACTTTCAGATCGGAAAGATATTCAATTGATCTTGATAAGTTTTTTTGCTTTTTGATGATCTCACTTCCGGTCGTGAGATATGGTCGATTTTCTGATTTTCAGAGGGTCAGCTTGTCCAGGAAACTCCTCCGAAACGACTTAAGATATCAACTTTAGATTTTCAGTGAAAGTAAAGGAAGTTTTATTGAGTTGAAATTGGGTCTCCAAATATTTCTAGCGCAAAAGGTGCCGGAGCTCGGTAGGGCCCGAAAAAATGTCTCAGAAATATCTCACAAAATTTGACGCATTTTGTTTCATATCTTCATACCCGTTCATAATTTGTTAAAGCATATTGAAGAAAAATTGTGCAAAATCACAAGATCTTTCATTTGATGTCAAAAAAATGGGACTGACCCCTAAAATTAGGGGCTCAGAGAGGCCAAAAGTCTTTTATCTATGACTCTCTAATGATCAATATTTTGTAATACATTACTGAAGCAAGAGTATTTATCTTAGCTATTTGATACAATTTTGATCATATGTTACGTAATTAGGGGTCACAAGGGGCCAGAATGTCATATCTTTGACGCTTCATATCTCGAAAAGGGTGAATATTTTGATAAGCAATATAGAACAAAAGATGGCCAGATTAATGTGCTAAACAATATGCATACTTCGAATTTTTGTAAAACGGTCCCATCAAGGACTTGTAGGAGTGGCCCCTAAAAATTTATATAAAGCATATCTCCTAAACGAAAAGAAATCTCTGAATAGGTGTAGAACAAAAAGTTTTTGAAATCACAAGACCTTTCGTTTGATATCAAGAAAAAGGGGCTGATTCCTCAAATTAGGGGCTCAGAGGGGTCAGAAGTATTTCATCTTTAACTCTTTAATGATCAACATTTTGTGATGCATTACAGAAGCAAAGATGTTCATATTAACGATTTGCAACAATATGTTATAAAATTTTGATCATATTTTACGTAATTAGGGGTCCCAAGGGGCCAGAATGTCAAATCTTTGACGCTTCATATCTCGAAAAGGGTGAATATTTTGATAAGCAATCTTGAACAAAAGATGGCCAGATTAATGTTCTAAGCAATATGCATACTTTCAATTTTTGTAAAAAGGCCCCATTAAGGACATGTAGAAGTGGCCCCTAAATATTTATATTAAGCATATCTCCTAAACGAAAAGAAATCTCTGAATAGGTGTAGAACAAAAAGTTTTTGAAATAACAAGACCTTTCGTTTGATATCAAGAAAAAGGGGCCGACTCCTCAAATTAGGGACTCAGAGGGGCCAGAAGTATTTCATCTTTAACTCTTTAATGATCAACATTTTGTGATGCATTACAGAAGCAAAGATGTTCATATTAACGATTTGCAACAATATGTTATAAAATTTTGATCATATTTTACGTAATTAGGGGTCCCAAGGGGCCAGAATGTCAAATCTTTGACGCTTCATATCTCGAAAAGGGTGAATATTTTGATAAGCAATCTTGAACAAAAGATGGCCAGATTAATGTTCTAAGCAATATGCATACTTTCAATTTTTGTAAAAAGGCCCCATTAAGGACATGTAGAAGTGGCCCCTAAATATTTATATTAAGCATATCTCCTAAACGAAAAGAAATCTCTGAATAGGTGTAGAACAAAAAGTTTTTGAAATAACAAGACCTTTCGTTTGATATCAAGAAAAAGGGGCCGACTCCTCAAATTAGGGACTCAGAGGGGCCAGAAGTATTTCATCTTTAACTCTTTAATGATTAATATTTTGTGATGCATTACAGAAGCAAAGATGTTCATATTAACGATTTGCAACGATATATTATAAAATTTTGATCATATTTTACGTAATTAGGGGTCACAAGGGGCCAGAATGTCAAATCTATGACGCTTCATATCTCGAAAAGGGTGAATATTTTGATAAGTAATATTGAAGAAAAGATGGCCAGAATAATGTTTTAAACAATATGCATACTTTGAATTTTGGTAAACTGGCCCCATTAAGGACTTGTAGGGGTGGCCCCTAAATATTTGTATTAAGCATATCTCCTAAACGAAAAGAAATCTCTAAATTAGTGTATAACAAAAAGTCTTTGAAATCACAAGACCTTTCGTTTGATATCAAGAAAAAGGGGCTGACTCTTTAATGATCAATATTTTGTAATAAGTATACATTATGAGTAGCAAAGATATTCATTTTAATGATATGCAACAATATGTTATAAAATTTTGATCATATGTTACGTAATAAGGGATTGCCAGGGGCCAAAATGCTATATTTTTTATGCTTAACGTCTCGAAAAGGGGGAGTATTTTTATAAGCAGTATTGAACAAAAGATGTTCAGAATATTGGATAAAAAAACAGAAACTTTAAATATAATTAAGAAAAACTTAATGTCATTCTCTTTTAACGAATATCTCAATCAAAATCACATCTCATCTTATCGAGATATTCAAATTCATATGTTACGTAATAAGGGATCGCCAGGGGCCAAAATGCTATATTTTTTATGCTTAACGTCTCGAAAAGGGGGAGTATTTTTATAAGCAGTATTGAACAAAAGATGTTCAGAATATTGGATAAAAAACAGAAACTTTAAATTTAATTAAGAAAAACTTAATGTCATTCTCTTTTAACGAATATCTCAATCAAAATCACATGTCATCTTATCGAGAAATTCAACGGAAGACCTACTCGTTGTTCGTGCAGAAGATTTCTCGGAGATGGCTCGACCGATTTTCTTGAAAATTTCGGAGAAGATGTATCTTTATCTAAAACTTATATGTTTTTTTTCATTTTTTGAAATTCACTTCCGGTCGGGAGTTATCGCCCTTTGATCGAAATTTTGAT